CAAACAAACAGATACGTAATAACACTAATAACTAATATTACATTACAATGAGTGAAGCTGTAATCCTACTAGTACACTAATATTAAATTATAGTGAGTGAAGCTGTAACTGTACAAGTACACTAATATTACATTACATTAAGTGAAGCTGTAACCCTACTAGTACACTAATATTAAATCATAGTGAGTAAAGCTGTAACTCTATGAGTACACTTATACTATATTACAACGAGTAAAGCTGTAACTGTACAACTTCACAAATATTACATTACAGTGAGTGATCCTGTAACCCTACTAGTACACTCATATTACATTACAGTGTGTGATCCTGTAATAAAACTGGGAAACTGAATTATTTATCATTAAAGTGAATTACGCAGTTAGAAAAATCTGCATAAAAGTTATTTAATTATGTGAATTATTTTACTATAGCATTGAAAAGCTTCCCCCCAAAAGAGATGTTTTGTTTATAAAGTGAAAAGTTATTATTAATTAGCTAATGTAATTTTTGTTTATTAAACTGAAAATTTTCATTAATCCTCTATCATTTCAAAGCCAACATATAGATTACTCCACACTGCTACAGACATTACTTGTTGAAAAGTTAAGGAAGAAAACAATTTAGTTTAAGCAGGAAAAAAAATCTTACTTACCAAATTGTTTATTATCTCTTCATTCTTACATGCCAGTATCTAAATAGACAGGGAGAAAACAATTATTTTTCCATTTAAACACATTTACAGGTGGCTTACTTGTTCTACAGAGATACATTTACAGGTGGCTTACTTATCCCTCATAATGTAGTCCCTATATTCATAATCTGATGTTAACAGATTATTGTTTCTATTTGAAGTCCCATTCATAATAGACGTGCTTTTCTTCCTTTTTTCCCCAACTTTTAGCCATTCTATGCATATCCATTTGCATATTGTTTTCGGGCCTTTAATTATACTTCAACATTTCTATTAAGAATTGTTTTCTGTTCTTCATACATTAGCTTGTCTTGTCTTACGTTCACAAGCTTACACCATCGACCTTGACAGCTTCCTGCTAACTCTATTAGACTTACTGGTTTACAACAAAAGGTTACAAACTAAGCTTGGAATTTTTATTCAACCTCACGGCAAACATATACATCGCAACAGTGGTATTCTTGTCTTATCTGCAGAGAGAATACTATCCAGAGAAAAATGAAGGTTCAAAGTAGGCAGATGGATGGCAGACTAAGGTCAAAGTAAAGTTGTTAACAGAAAGCTATAGAAGGAGAACTTAAACCACATCATCTTTTGAGAATTACTTTTAGAACTGAGAATCAATCAGATTATAATCTTCCACTACAAGACTGAGAAGTCACATGTTACATTTTCAATCAAATCTGTAACTAAGTTCATCCCCAGGCCACCCACACAAGCCTGCATTCCCTCTGTTAAATCAAATGCAGTAATCTCACCTATTAGAATATCTTCCCTACTTGTCCACTTATTTGTCCATCCTGCATTCTCCTTCACTGAGTTTTTCTAAAGTGATCTCCCCCTCTGTAAATTCTGACTCTAATGAAGTCACCCTGGTAAAAATGTTATCAGAGTCCTCCTTCCGAGTTATATATTTCAACACCTTTCTTTCATCTTTTATTAACACTTCAATGGGTTCCAAGATAGCTTGCCGTCTTGTTACCTCTGTTTACTAAGCTGCTTTAATTCCTACAATGAGCCTTATTAGATAGGTTGTTAGATACCTAAGTTGCTGACTTTTTTTATGATTTTACCTACTTGTTCATTTTCATCATCTATTTGGTCCGTTTGTTGCTGTCATTGTTGTTTGGCCATTTCCTACACATTTTATTGGATTCTTAACTTTTTTCATACTCTTTCTTAATAATGTTTTCGATTACATTTAAAATTGTTCGGTTTGTCCTACCTCATTCTGGAGGGTGGTGTTCAGACACATCTCTTGCTGGAACTCTGTTGTATTGGTTCCTGGTCGTAGTTTTGTCATACATTGTTGCATTGACTGGAAACACTGAAAAATCATTTAATAAAACATTATGGTTTAAACCTTAACTTTTAATTTTTTCTACTACATATACAAATAACACGTGTGAGAAACTTTTGTTTCTCATCATCCAGCCCAACTAATGAGTTTTGGTATTGAACAAAAGGCCTCTTGGGCAGTGACTTGTGTGAGAAAAAAAGTATTGGAAATACTATTTTTACACATAAACACATCTGATTTTAAATTCGAAATGGACAAGTTAATAAGAGTGTTGGAAAGAAACATTTAGGGTGTCCTAAAAGTCTGGACTCATAAGCAGAATAGACATTATATTCTTAAAGTTAAACAAACACAGTTCTAATGTCATTTGTACATATTTCAGGAAAGAAAATTATCTGATGTCACAGTATACCAATAATTGATGTGTGTATGGCTGTTAAGAATTAATTGTGTATTTTCCCCTATGGGTCCAGACTTCTGGGACACCCAGTACAGTTTACATGATGTTTAACACAAATGTTAGGCTTATTTACTTAATAAAACACTTTTGCCTAACTTTAAATTTAAGAATGCTTTGAAGGAACATACATTGAGTGTATTTACTTATTTAATTGCAAGTTGGTATTAAGTCATATTTGGTAATTAAACTCATGACATGGTTAACGTATCAAGGAACATACATTGAGTGTATTTAATTGCAAGTCGGTATTAAGTCATATTTGGTAATTAAACTCATGACATTGTTAACGTATCAAATTATAAAAATCAAAAAAGCATGATTTTTAACAATAGCAGAAAATTTTTACAATTTCAAAAGTCTTTTGAAACAAATGATATGAAGGCGGGTGAGTAAATAACATATACATTATACACAAGTTATCCTCAAATATAGGTTAAATATGTGTTCAAAGCAATATTTCTTCCTTTAAAAGAATCATTTATTAGATTTAAAGTTATTCCGAGCTATGTAGCTAGAACTGTGTAAAGATCATTTGATTTACATCTTATTGGATTTAAAGTTATTCCGAGCTATGTAGATAGAACTGTGTAAAGATCATTTGATTTACATCTTATTGGATTTAAAGTTATTCCGAGCTATTGTAGATAGAACTGTGTAAAGATCGATTGATTTACATTTTATTGGATTTAAACTTACTCCGAGCTATGTAGATAGAATTGTGTAAAGATCATTTGATTTACATCTTATTGGTTTTAAAGTTATTCCGAGCTATGTAGATAGAACTGTGTAAAGATCGATTGATTTACATTTTATTGGATTTAAACTTACTCCGAGCTATGTAGATAGAACTGTGTAAAGATCGACTGATTTACAAGTTATTGGATTTAAACTTACTCCGAGCTATGCAGATAGAACTGTGTAAAGATCAATTGATTAACATCTTATTGGATTTAAACTTACTACAAGCTACGCAGATAGAACTGTGTAAAGATCGATTGATTTACAAGTTATTGGATTTAAACTTATTCCGAGCTATGTAGATAGAACTGTGTAAAGATCAATTGATTTACATCTTATTAGATTTAAAGTTATTCCGAGCTATGTAGATAGAACTGTGTAAAGATCGACTGATTTACATTTTATTGGATTTAAACTTACTCCGAGCTATGTAGATAGAACTGTGTAAAGATCGACTGATTTACAAGTTATTGGATTCAAACTTATTCCGAGCTATGCAGATAGAACTGTGTAAAGATCGATCGACTTACAAGTTGTTGGAATTAAACTTACTTAATATGCATTCAATCAATGAAAACTTTACACAACATTATAGGATTGTGTTACTAACCAATGGTGGCAAAACTGTCAAACACTGTTGAAATGACAGTTTCACATCATCATCTGCATCTAAAATCAAAAAATCATAAGTGATATTAAAATTACAAAGTAATATATGTGTGAAAATTAATATAGTTAACATACTGTGTCCCAGTTTACTGCTGTCTACAGTATTGTATCTGTTACTTTACTGCTGACTACAGTATTGTATCTGTTAATTTACTGCTGACTACAATATTGTCTGTTAATTTACTGCTGACTACAGTATTGTATCTGTTACTTTACTGCTGACTACAGTATTGTATCTGTTAATTTACTGCTGACTACAGTATTGTATCTGTTACTTCTGCTGACTACAGTATTGTATCTGTTAATTTACTGCTGACTAGAGTATTGTATCTGTTAATTTACTGCTGACTACAATATTGTCTGTCACTTTACTGCTGACTACAGTATTATATCTGTTAGTTCCTGCTCACTAGAGTATTGTATCTGTTAATTTACTGCTGACCACAGTATTGTATCTATTAATTTACTGCTGACCACACTATTAAATCTGTTATTTTACTGCTGACTACAGCATTATATCTGTTAGTTCCTGCTCACTAGAGTATTGTATCTGTTAATTTACTGCTGACTACAATATTGTCTGTTAATTTACTGCTGACTACAGTATTGTATCTGTTACTTTACTGCTGACTACAGTATTCTATCTGTTAATTCCTGCTCACTAGAGTATTGGATCTGTTAATTTACTGCTGACTACAGTATTGTATCTGTTACTTTACTGCTGACTACAGTATTATATCTGTTAGTTCCTGCTCACTAGAGTATTGGATCTGTTAATTTACTGCTGACTACAGTATTGTATCTGTTAGTTCCTGCTCACTAGAGTATTGTATCTGTTAATTTACTGCTGACCACAGTATTGTATCTATTAATTTACTGCTGACCACACTATTAAATCTGTTATTTTACTGCTGACCACACTATTAAATCTGTTATTTTACTGCCGAGTACAGTATTATATCTGTTAGTTCCTGCTCACTAGAGTATTGTATCTGTTAATTTACTGCTGACTACAGTATCGTATCTGTTAATTTACTGCTGACTACAATATTGTCTGTCACTTTACTGCTGACTACAGTATTGTATCTGTTAGTTCCTGCTCACTAGAGTATTGTATCTGTTAATTTGCTTCTGAATACAGTATTGTATCTGTTACTTTACTGGTGACTATAATATTGTAGCTGTTACTTTACTGCTGCCTACAGTATTGTATCTGTTAGTTTACTCCTGACTACAGTATAATTTCTATAAATTCACTACTGACTTCAGTTACTACATAAATAATTTTACTGCTGAAAACAATACCACAGCTAGTATTAGTTTACTACTAGTTATGTCACTATATTGACCAGTTTACTACTGATCACAATACTATATTAATCAGTAATGAATATATATAAATATATAAATGAAAATGATCCGCACACTAATTATCTTGTACTACAACATGCCTAGAACTCAAGGTTCTCTCGAATTGTCAG